CATAGGTACTGGCATGTACTAGAGCACATGAGAAGTCTGACTTGCAGGAAAAAGAAACCTCTAGTACTGTCTCAAGGGTTACAACTCCCAGCAATGTCTACAACTGTTTTTCTTTACTTTGTAAAAGAATGTTAGTAATTTGGAACTAAGTCACCCCGGGCATTAACAACTCATAACAAAGAGCAAAGCTGAAATCAAGTGGTATGCACAAAATTGAGTGAAATAGTTTTAAATTTACTCAGAAAAATTACACTGTCATTCATCATGAACCCATTTTGGTTTATCCGTTGCATATTTTCAGTATATGTACAAAATCATTTAGATTCGGGAAAAAAAGACAGTAAAGTCCTAACCCCTTTTGCCTCATGCCTTTTGTAATGACCACCAGAAATTCTGGTCTGGTTAAGCTAAGTAAGTAATCATTAAATTAATTAAGAATTTTACCAAACTATATACTCTAACCTAAAGAAGCCTCTTTTTATTATACTTGTTCCACTGAAAGTGCAGACTTGCAGAGGTTTTTGATAGTGTTTACTATTGAAGAACATCATATAAAATAAACAAGCTGCACTGAAACTGGCTAAGTTGGCAGCTAAAACACTCTGACAGAAGGAAGTCATTTGTTTTGGGGAAAAAAGTGACATGGAAAACAGGTAGTCTCCAATCAAGGTCTTGCTTTCATGTGTCTGTATATATGATGTTTCAAACATCATCCCAGGGACCAAGAGAAGAAACAGTCATTGACTGTTATTCCCCAAATAAATACACATGAGTACAATGTGTACAATAGTATAAAAAAGAAGAGGTTAAAGGTAAAATGCTGAAGAAAATATTTTTCCTTAGGCCTTACCATTTAATTTCCCCTCCTTCCTACCCCACCCCCAATCAGGTATAAACCTTTACCCAACAATTACTAGACAGTAACATACAGACCTAATTCCTCATTGAAATGTTGATGATCAGAAAAAAAAAAAAAAAAAAAAAAAAAGGGAGGCACAGCATAAGACCCAAGAAGAGGAGGTTGAGAAGCTGGTTAGCAAACAGATGACATTATTCCAATCCTCATTCACTACTTGATTCTAAATTTTGCAAATGTGTAGATGGGGATGGGTGCAGTGAAAATCAACCTCTTATTTTAAGGCAAATATTTTAGAATACCAAATTTATGAGTGAGATCCCTTTGCATTAAATATTTTGTGATATCCAAAACATACATATAGTTCATTCTAGCAAAGCGATTAAAGAGGCTGTGTCAGCCTTTTAACATTAGGCACATGATCATTACTTCATTCTAGTGTTACTTGTCAAGGCTTTTTTTTTTTTTTTTTCCCCTAATATATAAAAAAGTGGGTATTCATGAAGAAAGTGGTCTGGATAAAGAAGTTAGCAGTTTGGGAAGGAAACCCCAAAAGCATAGCCTGTGTTTTGGGGCTTCAACGTCCACATGGCGGGTGGGTTAAATATCTCATCTTTTGTCGTTCTTTCTAGTTTTGTAAGCCTGTTAAGGTTTTGAAAGTTTTTTTCTTACTTCATGCAGGAAAAAAAAGATTATTCAGGGGCACTCCCCCACTTCCCAGCAGGCCAGTGCAGAGTTTGTACTAATTCCAAAGCTAGAGTTTTCCAGTAAAAAAAAAAAGTAGGGAGTGATTTAGTGCTGGCTATATAACTGCATTATTTCTGATCTGAATGCAAAGTCTGTCTTGCCACCTCATCGATCTAATCCAAGATGTTAGGGCATAGCACAGTCTCAGCATTGAAAACTTCTGCAGCTCTGTGGAAATGTTGCCTCATTCACACTGCTGCAGAATGAACATCCATCAACTTGAGATGATTTAACAGTGAGAAACAACATCTATTCTAGCTCCTTTGAGTGCTGTTACACTGCTTTTTCTTCATATTATTTTCAGGAAATAAAATTAACTCTTCCATAGGGGCTTTGCATGCTTTGGTGAATAGCCCCAGAAAGCCTAAGAAAAGAGACAAGAAAGTCACTTAAACTAGAAACATGCAGTAGATACATATAACAGCGTTTAGTATGCCTGGGCAGGGGTTCAGAAGTACGTTGGAAGCACAGGCAATTTATAAACCAGGACCAACACACATATGTAAAATGTGAATATTATAGAGACACCTATACTTGATTTGAGATTCATTCTTAAACCTATACCTCTACAAAGAAATTCCCACTAGCTGGGATGCCTTTAATAGTTTATCTATATGGGAAAATGGCCACACTGTGCTCTGGACCAGTCATACTTTCTATCTGTATAAAAGAACTTCATCTTTAATCTTCTGTGAAATTTGGGGGCAAGCTTACATCTGAAAAAAGATACTCTGTTCTGAACCAGTGTGGTCACAGAGCTGCAGTCATAGCAGGTGAGCATGAGCATGAGCAGTCATCACTATTTGTCTTTCAGGATCCTCCCTAGGTCACTGTGAATTCCACAAAAAATTGCTTCTTTTCATCCCCATCATCTCACAATTTGCAAGTAAGAGAGAGTGAAGGTGGCTTGCTAATTAGGTTCCATGACTAGTTTTCCCACATTTTAAAGGCTAAGGTTGGATTCTGCCTAGGGGGAGAGAAACTGAGGAGAAAGAGCACAAGAAATGGCACCACTTCTTCCAACCCCTCCTCTCCCTAACTCCCTCCCCATTCCCCTCCCTGCAAACCTGAATCAGCTCCCCGGTGCCATGTCAGCCCCAGACTGGCAAAAGAGGGTGTGGGGGAAAAACCACCCTTGGAGACTGAGCAGTGAAGGAGGCTGGGGCAGGGTAACGGCCTGGGGATGCAGTTACAGCTGTTGGGGGGGTGGCAGGCGGGTAGCTGTGGGTTGTCCCCTGGTGAGCAGCTGGTCCAGGGCAAGGGAAAGGTGTGTCTGTGGGTGTGGGTGGGCCATCTGCCCCAGGGTGGGCCCATCTTCTCCTGGACAGGCCTCCATCTGCCCCAGGGTGGGCCCATCTTCTCCTGGATGGGCCTCCATCTGCCCCAGAGTGGGCCCATCTTCTCCTGGACGGGCCTCCATCTTGCTCCAGAGTGAGCCCCCATCTGCTCCCGGGAGGGTCCCCATCTCAGGGGTGAGCAGGCACCCAAGCTGTTGTGTGACGGCCTGCTCATCGTGGATGCTGTGTGTCCAACCACTGAGTGCACAAGCACCTGAGCATCCTGGTTATGGGAACATGTCTAACCTGCTGCCCCTGAGCCGGCCTGCTGCCACACATTTGGTCACTTATCCATATTTCTGGATTCATCCAGACAGGGGACTTTCCACAAGAGTGTCTATCTGAAAAGAATGTGCATATTTGATGTCAGTTTGACAGTGTATCTGAGTGTGCACCCAGGTCTATTTTTATACGTGTATAGTCCAAGGAAACAGTTTTTGTTGTAAAGTGTGTGGTAAGAGGTGTAGTGTTTGCACATACTTGACAAAGTGTCAATAGCAAAATGCCTTGTATCAAGGTTAGAGAAGCATGTTGCTTGGATCACAGATACATGGAGAAAATGTGCTTGTCCATGTTTTATCAGTATGACACTGACTGTATTACTGAGAGAATGTGTTATATGAAAATTTTATTAAAAAGTATAAATTTCACATCTGTCTCATACAGCTCCTGTGCCAGATCAACATGCATATTTGCACACAGTAACGTGTGTGTTCTGCAGTGTTTTCGTCTCCACCTGAGAAGGTATGACTGCACATTTTTAATTGGGGAGCATGTGCGGGCTGATTGGGAAGTATAGTCTATTGTCATGTATGTGGCAAATGTTTTGCAGATCTAGTCTTGCAATGCATTGATTGTTATTGCTCAGTGACAGTAAGTGACAATGCAAGACATGTTCTTTTGCCTAAGATTTCCTATTAAAATCACATATTTTCATCTGTCAGTTTCCTATAGTTTCAGTAGAGAGCATCATCTCCTCAGAGTCTTTAAAGGACTGAAATTAATGCCATACTGTCTTGCTGCCTGGTTTAAATGATGTGAAGAAAGTCTGTTTAAAATTTTGTTCCTTGATATTGTTTTTAGATTAAATGTGAAACAAGCATCAGGGCAAGCGTTCTCACATTGGCCACTATGCCTCAATCTGTGGTCTGAAGGCAGCAGCTCCAGTGGGAAGGCCAGGATAGTTCAAACTGGACGTATTTGCTGGTTGACTTGTCAGATATCAGTGCCAGTGGAGGTCACATTCATGGAAGCACTTTCATCTTTGTCAAGACAAAGTTTACCATCTTAATCAGCAACTTTAGAAAGCTCCACTGAAGCTGCTGATGCAGTGATAACATTTATTTTTCAGTTATGCTCAATTTAGAAGCAGAAGTCAAACTTCATCCACATATGTAACTTAACTGAGATAGTTTTTCTGTCCAGTTCATAGTTATCTATTATCTATTAAAAAACCTTAAACAAACAGAAAAAAAAAAAAAAAAAAAAAAAAAAAAAACCCAAACATGAAGGACATTTTTTATTAATGATAGAATGATGAATGCATCAGGTTTTGGTGGGGAGTTTAGTTATGGGATACTAACTCATTGTTTTTCATGCATCCCAGAAGCTAGGAAACTTGATTTGGTGTCATTAGAGTTGAAGCTCTTTGATCAATATTTTTTTGAAATGGTCCACTGTTACAGCAGCTGTCATCCCATCTGAGGTCCCTTTGGCCATTCTGAACAGAGTAATTATAAGCTTGAAAAATTGTTGAGACTAAAAAATTTTGAAGTCCCTAAGAAATTAAGAAACTAAAAAACAGATAAAGAAACTAGAATTTGTATTCTGTTTCCTGTGCTGTGTGGGTTTTGCAAATAAGTTGTATATTGCTCCACAGAATTCTGATGTGAGGTGTTAACTGTCATAGTTGTAGGGGCTTCAGTCAAGTTAATGTTTAAGGGAATCAGAAGCAGTGCTCTGTTGAAAACCATATAAATCAGTTCTGCATGTCACATGTTCTTTTAAAACCCTCTTAAATGTACTTTGTATATTGATATGTTTCCTATAATCACAGGGAAATGGAAAGCAAGAAGAAAGAAATACAGCTCCAGGTATAAATCCTAATTACTTGAACAATTCTAGAGATTAATAGATTTTTTTTTTCTGCTTTTTTAAGGTGTTAAAATGTCAATTCATTTTATTTCAGGCCATAATAACTAATCAAAACCAGTGGGATGAAATGTTGCTGACAAAAGGTGTAGTAGGTACTGTCACTATTTTCTGTTTAATCTCTCATGAAGACATGTACAGTTTTTCATATTTATATCGTCTTTAATAGACACTAGTTATAAATCTAGAAGACTAGTGCCCTATTATCATTTAAAGAAAGGTTATATTAAAATATTTATAAATTTGTATATTGTGTTTATGAATATACACTATCTTCTATGATAAATACTTGTCAGAAATCATGTTACCCATTATTCTATGCACTATTATACACCAACGTTTAGAAAATACCTTTCCAATATGTTATACTGTATGGTAGGGGTCTGGACACTTCTGTGGAAGTTTTTTCCCTAAAATCTTGTGCAGACTCAATTAGTACTGTACAGGTGTCCTTAACAGTTAAACGGTCAGCATTCTTAGGAGTGGATGTTCTATGATGTCTATTATCCTCAGTTTTCAGTTCATTCAGTCCAATAACAATGTGTCCTAGGTCTCCTTGAAATTGTATTTGGGTAGAAGGAACAAACCTGTACTGGGATTATATCTACAGAGGAGTAGTAATGGGAAGTAGATTATCTGCATGGGCTCAGGGAGGTAAAAATCCTGTAGGATAAAGATCTGCATAAGAATGAAAAGCAACAGGGGGAAAAGAAAAAGAACAATTAAAAGGAAAAGGAATATGAAAGAAATGCAACTGTTTGTATTAATCATCTCAATTGTATTGTGAAGTATGTTGTTGATGTCAGAAGTCACTAAAATAAAAGAAGAAATTGTGATGTGTCCACTGAATACATTCATGTATTCACAATGCATTCATTGACTAGGACTGAAAGATGCATATGAACGCCCTCCCAGTACTGTTCCCACACACACATAAATATGTCTCATTTTGTAAATTCCACAAGTCAACTGTTTGTAATTCCAAACTATTACATTTTAGTAATAGATGTGTATCAAGCTTGGTGTGGTCCTTGCAAAGCTGTGGTGAACTTACTCAGAAAACTGAAGAATGAGTTTGGTGAAGACGATGTGTTGCATTTTGCAGTGGTAAGGATGTAAATTCTGTGTGGAACTTCATTTATATTTTATTTAAAATATATCTTTTTGTCTGTCTGCACATACAGAGCTTTCATTTTACTGTCCTGACAACCAAATCATCATAATTTTGGCCTGGTTGCCTCTTCTTCTGCATATCTCCTCATAAGACTTTGTTTAGGGGTAGATTGGAAATGGTGATAAAAATGAAAGCACCTATAACAGAATGGGAGCTGATATCCCACAACTTTTGTTTTACTTGATGCGATTGCAGAAACATTCAAAAGCCAAACTATATGATTTTTAGTTTTAAGTCTCTACATTATGGATTATCACATTTAAAATACTTATGTCCCTGAAAAATATTGTTGCACCTTTTTCAAATATCCCTTTGGATTTCATTTTTAGTAGAACAAAAAGAGAGAATTGAAAAATAAATTATCATAAAACTATAGAAGTAAAACTGTTCTTCTACACTAGTAGTATAAAATAGGAGGTATATATCATATTCAAAGTAGATAATTTGTTTCACAATTCAGTTCCTCCCATATGTTGACCAAGTTCATCCTTTTCCATGTTACTGGAAACTTTCAATTGCCAGATCAAAGCGTTTTTGTAGAAAATATATGTATTGTTTATACACAAAAAAGCAGGCAGTTCTGTTCAGAGATAATCTCGAGTGCTTTCATACAGTTGACCACATCACAAAGAACGTGATACAGTGCATAATCTCTTCCATCAAGATTGCACAAGCTGCCTCCTCATTTATGTGTGTTATTAAAACCTACATGGGAAACAGTATTAGAATAAGGTGTTTTTCTGTGATAAACTCTTCTAATATAAAGCGATGCTAATCCCATGTTACCAAGCCAGTTCTTTCTTCATCACCAGAAAGTGCCTTAAGGAATTCTAGTTATATCTAAGAGTGCAGTTTGAGTGTTTAACACCAAAGTATGTAAGACTGCAGTTTTCTTGCAGGCAAAAATGTTTATATATATATATGAATACGTATACACATGCAAGTAAATAATGTTTTTCATCTGACTTCAGGCAGAGGCTGACAACATTCCAACTCTGCAACCATTTAGGAATAAATGTGAACCTGTTTTTCTTTTTTGTGTTGTAAGTATATCACATCAGTTTCTTTTAATGTGCTGCCTACTTTTGTCCTAATTTTGTGGTAGATTTAAAAAAAATGTAAAATCACATCTTTAGATTTTACAGTACGTAGGATTATATCATCAGATGTTGTTTACTTGAGGCTGTTTCCAGTGTGTAAATCTGTGGTTCTCAAGCACATTTTTGTTGTAGCTGCTGCATGTACAGTCACAGATTTGTGGTAACCACAGTTTTGCTGGTTAGTGAGAAATCCATGTAAATTTTCCTGGGTTGATTCTCATAAAGTGCCTACATGTGGCTACACTGAAATGGTTATTTTATGCACACTTTCCTTCCAGGAATAAGAGTTTACATTTCCTGCCACTTTAAGGTTTTTAAGATAAAGAATTAAAATTTCATTTTTCACACCTGAGCAACTGTAACAATCAACCATACATTTATTATCTCTCGCTGACGGACACAGAAAGACTGTCCTCCTAGGGCTCCACTGTAGAACACTGCTCACATAGGAGGTGGAGGGTTTTTTGACTTGAGGGTGCTAGGATTTGAATTCGCACCACTAAGGACCAAGAACAATACTTTCAGGACACTTTCACGTTTGAATCTGAGTGCTGCCAAATGAAGTTAGCAATACCTTTGATCATTAGTAGCTGGCTTTGCTATGGTGTTCATAAATGTAGCAGAGCACACACTGAAATATAATGAAAAAAAAAAAAAAAAAAAGATTAAAAACTCCATGCTATAGAAATTAAGAGCTAGTGAATTCCATATTTGCATTTACTTCTGACTGTACTATTAATGGTGAGCCTAGAAATAAACATGGAAAATTAGGTAGAGAAGGAAGGGAGGAAGTAAAAGCAAGAAAGGTTCATTCTGAGCTAGTAGAGGCAGCAGTAGCTTTGGTATTCACCTCAGTGGGCATAGCAAGCGGTCCTGTCCTGTCCCTGGAAAAAATAGCAAGATAAAAATAGCAAGATATAACATGTTCCAAAACTGAAGTAGATGTGTAAACTAAGTGACAAGAACAAGTGTTATTTTCTCTTTTACAGAATGGCAAAATTGTTGCAATAGTAAGAGGTGTAAATGGTCCTCTTATAAGTAAGAAAATAACAGAGCTAGTACAGGAAGAGAGGGAAATTGCAGCTGGAAAGAAGGAACGCACAGAGGTACTCACAAAACAGATACTTAAGTATAAATGAGTATTTTTATTACACTTATATGGTTTCTCTCAATGTCTGTGATAGTGGTTTAGGTAATGTTTAATTTTTTCTTGTAATTTTTTCTTAACAGTAAAGTGACATATGTGAGGGTTTGGGTTTTTTAAGAAATTTCTAATAAATGGTACTTTATAAAAATTCAAGAAATTTACAGGTTAGCCTATTAATGCAAGAAATTGAGAGATGGACAAATATGTCACTAGCACATAAAGGCTTTAGTAATCTTTTTTTTTCAGGACCGGATAATTTTTATATATATATAACTAACTAACAGTACATCATATGAAACAAAGACATGGGAAACAGTAGTGTCTCATTGCTTGTTTTGAGTGAAAATGGAGATCAAAAAACACAGTAAAAGGAAACATTTAACAAACTGTAGCTCAGTTAAGGAAAATCAGGCTAACTCAAGGTCTTTCTTAGAATTGTTAGTGTTTTAGGGTTACAAATATGTTCTTACATTAAGATACCAGTGTTGTAAAGATTGTACAGCTGTGTTTGATGACTTTTGCTTAGCACTGCTGATGGACTTTTACTCTATTTGCAATTACCATAGGTAGATGAACTTGTTTTCTTGGAAGAGAAATCATCAGAAGAGACTGTAGAAGAGACTGTACCTGAGGGTAAATATATTTGATTAATTTCAGAAATGTTAGCAGAAAGAAAAAGAACAAATGTCTATGATGATATCAAAATGAGGAGAAGCTTTCTTCTGTAAGGAATTAAGATAACAGGCTATCTTCATTACTGTTTTCACCTCCCCTTTGGGAACCTTCAGACTTGAGGTTCCTAGCACATAGACAGTAGCAATGCTATGTGCCAGGGAATTTTCCTGTGTAAAACTAGTACCTGAAAGTCACTGCCACACAGTCCCTGTGTTAGGTAGGCACTTTCATCGAGATGGTGTTTGTTAACCCTTGGATGTTCTACCAGAATACCAAGATGAGGGCAACCTGAGAGGATTGGAAGAGTTAATCTGTGAAGAATTTAATACCTTGTATCTCACATTATTTTTAATGCGCTCTTTCAGTAGATTAGATTTAAGAGCTAAAGAACAGACCTACACAGAGCATAAATCCACCAAGGCTCCAAAAAGATTGAAAAATAAGCATCATCATGTTTGTGAGTCTCATGTCTATGATTTATCTTAGGCTTGTCATGAGCTGGGACCTACATCTTTTCTTACTGTTATCTGTAGCTACCGAAGGTTTCTACTGTTTTGTATATGCACAGAATGCCATTCAGTAATGCTGAGGTAGAATAACCTCCTCCATCCTCTCCTTCTTGATCTTGCCTTTTTTTCTTTTTTTTTTTTTCCCTGAGAGAAGGCATTAGATCACAGTCACAGATTAAATCATGTCCCTTCTCCTTCCTCTTAATGCCTTCTTCATTGTGTTGTTCAAGTGACATACTCCTGACCTCAGTTTGAGCCCATAATTTTTCTCTGAGACCTCTCTGAGACCTAGCAGTACAGTATTACAAATATTTTAGCAGTTATATGCAGACTTTACACTAATCCACAGAACCTAAATATGTGACAAAATCAGGCAACAGAGTTTTCAGCTGGGGTTCAGCTTCAGGTTATATGATCCCTCAGAAGCCGTAACACACTAATGTTTTTTTGTAATATTTTCACTACCACATGCAGGTGACTGTGAGTGTTTTCCAGTGTTGGAAACAAGTAGTAGTCTGTCGTTTCTGTTAGATCTATTATTAAGTTCTTCTACAGTTTTTGGGATCTGAATGAATGACATTATAATGCTTAACTGTAAACTTCAGATTCTGCAAAGATGATGTAGTTCATACTCTCTTCTGACCACTGTCATTTTGCAGGTATCTGTATGCTATGGGTGTTGTAACAGTGTGTCTACAACCAGGAACAGCTCTTGTTTTAAATATTAGATTGTGTTAGCAAGCATGTGTTACTTCAACAGTTATTTATTGCAAATGACTTCAGCACCCCCAATGCTAAGGAAACATCTGCTATGACAAGAAATATATCTTACTGGAAATCTCCAATATTCATACAGACTTTCACTTAGTGAATTTTCCTTAGTAATATTAATTCCTTTCACATTTCTAGTCTTGTACATACAGAGCTCCTTAGACAAAGTATCTATCTTAAACCGCAGTTTTTCCACCACACCTAGCTGCATGTGAACCATTTTTCCAACATAGTACCCAAAATAGCAGTGGTTCATCAGAAATGTAGATTCTAGGGATGGCTAAGGATGGTCCTGCACTCCAAGACATATTTTAAGTGCTGGAATCACTTATTTTTTGGAACAACTGTTTGGCCATCTCAATATTAAAACGGAGAATTATTTAGAGAAACCCACTTGTAAGCAATGGAAAATTGAGTTGTGTATTTTGATAAACATATTCATTGACAGATGATTTTTTCCCTTTTCCAGTAGTCAGATATTCTATTGGAATTATAAAACCTGATGATGTCTTAGAGGGACGCGTAGAAGAAATTAAACAAAAGGTAGACAGAATTTGAAAAGATTCATTCATCCTATTTAGTTAAGAGGCATAGTAGCAAGATGTAAGATTAAGTAGATCTTAATTTATGCCCAGGCTTTAGAACAAGATCTCTTAATGCTTCTCTGATAAGGATGATACAAGCATGATAATTTTGACCTGAAATAATTTGGTGGTCAGATTGATATTTATTGATTATTGCTTTAATATTTTATGTCAGTAGATAAGTTATGATACCGATTCATGATGTGTCAATTGAGACACATGAAATCTCCAAACAGAAAAGTGTCTTATTTTCCTCATATTGAAATAGAAATGAAAACTGGAGATTGCAGTGGTGAAGTTAATTCTTTGCACAGCATCTTAAAGAATTGTAGGCACGCCTAAATCATTTTAAGAGTTCCTTGTGAAAGAAGGTGTGTGTACAAGCACATATGACAATATACATGTGTAGATGGTGAGGCTAATTCATGTGCACCAGTAATTGTACACCAATATTTGTCAGGAGCGCAATATTTGTTCCTGCAGTGAAGAATGCGATTTCAGCAAGTACGCAAGGGTGCATCCAAGGGGTTAGTATTTGTTTAAGCCATCACTCAGTGAAAGAAAAATTCTTTTGCCTTCCAGAATAGGATACTCTAATAATGCTCATTTCAATTCATTTCAATTCAATTCAATTCAATTACAGGAATTTCTCACTGTTTCTGTTACAAAAATTGCCTCATAACACTATTGATCAAGATAAAATTATGCTAATCTTAAAAAATTGCTATGACAAGGCCAGTAACCTTTCTGGAAAGAAAATAAGAGCATTGTATAAGTTGTTTCTGCAATTACTCTACCTTGGCCAGAAAGGAAGGAAGCTCAGTAAAGTCAAAAAAAGCAGGCACTGCTTGAAAGCAATTTAGCTGTAGCTGAGCAGCTGCTAGTCAGCTCTGCCTTTGCACTGCTTTAGGAGGTGCGTACTCATACTTGTTTCCACACTCAGCCTTGGCGAGGAAGTCTGGAAGCACTCAGCAGTATCACAGGGGCTTTTAAAGAGCATAGTGATGGTAAGCAGATTAATATTGGCCTATGATCAGTATTGTGGCTGAGTAGCTCCTTTCTTTTTTAAATATCAGTATACGGTATAGACCTCATACCAGTGGACTATTTTGACATAGATCATGTAAGTGTGCATTACTTACACTTACTTGAATTTAGTGTAGTAACATAAAATAGATAATGATAAAATAGATTTTATTTTGTGTTTTTTGATGTTTCTAAAGCCAAGTAGTTTAGCCTAATCCAACAATTGTTGATAAATACACATTTATATGACTACTATGATTATAACATAGTTTGTAATAACATTTTTAGAAGTGGTTGTATGTTAATCACTCACAATGGTTAAATTGAGTTTATTCAATGTTAAATAAAAGGTATTATTAACTACTGAGTGAATACATACATTGAACTGCACTATATTTTTCACAAACATTAACTTACTGGGCATTGTAATCCTGAATTTAGTGAAGCGCTTTGAAAAAATGTAACATAGCAGTTATATTTGGAATATTTCAGATAATTTTAAATTTAAGATAGCTTTTAAAATCAATCAATCTTTAGATTTACAATAACATATGATTTTATATATATCTGTTTTCAAATGCCACTGGGTCGTATTTTACTAATTGCAGATTAGAGATGCAGGATTTGTCATTGAGGCAGCAGAGGAGAAAATGTTAACTGAAGAGCAAATCAGAGTGTTCTATGCCCAGAAAAAAGAACAGGTAAAACCGAACTAAAAACCTAAACAAAAGGAAGAGGTAAAACTTATAATTGTAGCTATATGTATTTACAGATCTTTGTCTTGTAAATTTTTAGTATGTTAAAAAACAGGATTAATGTAAATATACTGCATAGAAAAAAGGAGATGTTATCTCTCTTTTTCTTACTGACTCATACAAATATGACTTGGTAGCACTCTAACATTCTAGCTAAATTAAACTGAACTCGAATTAAATCCCAAAAGATCTTGTTGTTCTTGCTGTTATCAGAATGTGTATGACCCTTAGTCATGGCCCTAAACATAGGCTGTTAGGTGCTAAAATGTAGCATAAACCCAATATCCAGTGTCACTTACATGGCAGTATGTATCTATTTAACTCATATCTGCCAGCCAGAAAATTAGTGATAGGATATGTTGCATTTTTTTCTTCTCTTCAGTTTTATCACAGGGTAGTACTGGGAATAAACAGGTGCACAAGGCTGAAAGAGAAAGCATCTCCATTGAAGTTTATTTTTCTGGCCCTATCCTATATTAGGGGACAACAAAGAGCTAAGGACAAGAAGGAGTGGCCTCAAGTTGAGCCAGGGAAGGTTTAAACTGGCTCTTAGGAAGCATTTCTTTCCAGAAGGGGTTGTTGTGGAGTCCCCATCCCTGGAGGTGTTCAAGAGTAGGGTTGACCCAGTGCTGAGGGATCTGGTGGAATTGAGAATGGTCAGTGTGAGGTTAATGGTTGGACTGGATGATCTTCAAGGTCTTTTCCAACCTAGAGGATTCTGTGATTCTGTGACCGGAAGTTCAAGAAAACAATTAAATTATGCTGGTCACCACTAAATGACAGTGGTGTGGCAAACTAGTACCTGGATATTGTCAAGTGCTTTGGCAGTATGATAGCTGATAGTATGATAGAAGGATATGATTCACAAAAATTAAGCTGATTAACAAATACTTATACCTTCTCCTATTTCAGAGGTGCATAAAATACACTGAGGCTGGAATTATATGCAGATGACTAGTTTGCTTAATATTATTACAGGGACCAATGGCAGGGATCAATGAAAGGGCTGGCATAATCAAAAGAAGAAGCTAGGAAAGTGTTCCTGTAGCACTCTAAATGAATAAGAGTTAGACAAGATGGTTCCCACTGAAGCCAGAGGGCAAAAAGAAATCTGATAGTAATCACCAGATGGCTGCACTATGGTTTAGAAAGGAAGTAATAGGGAGAGCTTGTAAGGAGACAGTTTAGAAATAGAGATAAAAATAAGTCATCTTCATGGGAACAGCAGCCAAATTTGAGATTAGTTAGGTGTAGAGGGATATATGGGAGGAACAAAGACAGAGAAGAAACATGCAGTGTTTGATATATGGCAGCACTACTACACCACAGCAGTTCCTAGAAAACATTAGGACAGGGAGAATAACAAAACTACTACAAACTACCAGAAGCAGTCCAGAGGGCCCTATACATATTGAGAACTATTTGCCATTCTTTAAGTGTAATGCTAAGCTGAAAAATAATTATGGTAAAGTGACAATATAAAATATATATTCCTTTGTGCTCAGTGAGCAAAATTATTCCTGATTTAATACTCATCGATCTTGCTGAAAGTCCAAAGACTGCATATGACAACAGAATGGAGATTCAAGGCAATAAACCTTCAGATATAACTGGAACCAAAAGTTGTTTCTTTTTAATGATGAATCTGGGTGATCCAGGACAGCCAAATCTAATAGCCACATCTATTTCTTCTGATGTAAGTGTGCTTTTGAAGCTACAATGGTATAAATATTCCCTTTATGCATTGTAGCAAATGTTTTTGTACTTGCATTCGTTGTCTTCTGAGTTTGTTCATCTTGTGAAATGGGTTAAGAGTATGCATAGATATGAAGATAATTGAAAGAGAAAAGCAATGAATTGAAAGCATAAATGTGAATATGTCATCCTTGTATTACTAAAGGAAAAGTGTATCATATGCAATCAGATGAGAGTGACTGGTAAAGAAAAGATTTAGTCAAATATTTAAAAGCAGAGCAGATATTTGAGGAAATTCACAATATTGAAGAAAAAGGTGACATAAGGAAGAAAAGGTTAAAAACTCACAACAGCTTCAAAAGTTACTTTCTGATGAAAATGATGGTTGAAAATGAAGGAGTGAAAAGAATGTAGATAATGAAGGAAAAGCCTACAAATGTCTTGCAGATATGTGAGTGATCTATATTTACAGCCAGCTATATAGGGTTTAGTTTCAGAAATTTTGCATGGAATTGTAGTACAGTTTGTCATGTCACACTATATGTGCTACTGCAAGCATAGTGTTTGATCACATTGAGTTTCTAGACCATTCTCTTCACTCTTTATTACTTGCATTTTAACCTGGAAAAACATGTGGTACTTGCTTAATGTATTTCTATCACTTCCTTTATCTCAATTAATTTCGTTTTAGACTTTTTGTAATGTTGTTTCAAACGATTGATCAAAAAACTCCTCAACCAATTTGTCAGTGTTTTGAGTAATGCATGTAAATGCCATTTTAGAACAGGAATTATGAGTTACTTTGGAAAGGATGGTGTCTCATTTCTGATTATAAACTCAGACTTCCTGTAATTCATAGGGGGGAAATTATGTTTTTTAGAGTGATTTTGATGATTTTGTTCAATTCATGATGAGTGGACCATGCCACGTTTTGGTAATCATTAAAAGAGAAGCAACTGATGCTATTCCTCACTGGAAAGAACTATGTGAATCGAGTGAGAGTGTGCCTGATGAGCCTGAGGCTGAGCAGCCAGAGAGGTAACTACCAGTGAAAATGCATACGTGTGACTCAGTTACAGTATTCAGAGCGCACCATAAACCAAGGCACATTCTTACAGATGCTCATGTGCCTGTGTGCAAAGGTTCCAGGGAGCAGGCAGAATTTTTCACCTGGTCCTTCACGGGACCACCACTAGAGATGCAATCACTGTTCCTGTGGGAACATAGAAACTCCATGCTTCCTAGGTAAGGATGAGAAGCAAAGGGCACCAGTCTCTTGTCACTTCTGAACTAGCCTTGAATGGGTGAACACTAGTTCACCCTGACAAAGTGCCTGCCAGCTTTGCCCACTGAGGGTTGCCCATGTTTACACCTATCTATGCAGGGAAGCTGTGATGTGGCCCAAAGGAGACTAGGGGACACCTGAAGCACTCTGTGCTCCCCGGGACCACTCTGTAAAAGCCAGAAAAGAAGTGGGAGGAGTTTGGGTTTTGTTTACCCCTCCCCTCTTCCTCCACCCCCCAAGAGGCCTAAAAATATTGTAAGGATTAACTGTTCACAACCATCTTGAAATGTCTGTTTTTCTCCTATGCCAAGTATTTGTAAAGAATTTTAGAGATGATGATAGCTCACACAGCATCAGACAATAGCATTCACAAAAATTCAATTGTTGGATCAAGTTTTATATTTAGACAAGAGATTTACTTAAAGTAACAGAATTTAAATACTTTGTTCCAGAGAAGAACTTGTCATAATAATTGATAATTTTGTTGATTCCTGCTGCATCCCTTCCTGTATTAATCTAGTACAAGTGGAGAATATTGCATTTTCTGTAAGTTGTGAAGAATGACTGTATTTACATAGCTAAATAAACCTTAGAAATACAGGCAAATAACAATGAGCAGTATCTCTCCTAAAGGCAATTCTGTCGTGCTATTGTTTTTACGATCATGCTGTACATGAACTAAGCACAGTCCTTTTATTGATCATTCATTATACACTGTACACTTGTCAGTAGTAATTCTGTCTAGTGAAACAGAGAGACTGTTTTGAATAAGCTAGAGGGGAATTAGAAAGGCTGCATGACTGAGATTTCCTTTTATATCACATGACAGGGCACTTTTTGAGAAGATTAATAATTCTCTTCTCAGAAACATTGCTTTAGTCATGAATCTGAATTTACCAAAGCTTAGTTTGGCATTCTATTCTTATGTTTACCTAAACTTTAAGAAAATACATCTTCAAGAAGTCAACTGTTAACACAATGCATGCAGTGACTTAAATACTGTACTACTTTGTGTCTCGTTAGTTTGGAAGAAACTGTGGAAACTGAGAGTATATTTAATCTATGTGACATTCAAGACAGTGTAGAAGATGCCAGCAGACAACTTGCCTTCTTTTTCCCAAATTTTGGTATACAGAAGACAGACCAAAAAGTTGAAAAGACTTTGGCATTAATTAGACCCTCTCTCTTAAAGGAAAGACGATGTAAGTGTTAATAACTACATTTTCTATCTAGGGTATATAAAATGTCTCCTGTTTTGAATTTTAAAAATTCTAACTCTATTAATGAAGTGTTCATAGGTCACATTGCCTCCCCATCATTAAATTGATGGTAGTCTTTGTCTGGAAAAAAGTTACTTGGTTAATGTTTTTGATATATTAAAAAAGTAAACATCAATGCTATTTTGTTTCTTTGGTTGATTTTTCAAGAATGTATTTAGATTGTATATTTTGATGGAATGTTGCTAGAAGATCTCACAGACAATATAGCATTTTCAAAGTATAGTATAGGGGGTTATAATTGTCACCATAATAACGTAGCTGATATTATTCTTGAATGGCAGGTTCAAGGCAGATCAATGGCAAGGTGAAAAGGATCTGACCCAGAATGTTCTATGCTGCATAAGGCAATGCTGCACAAGGGCAGGTCTATACAGAAAATGTTTTTACAGATTCAGTCAAATAATCTACCCCTTTAGTATGGAGTTCCACCCAAACAAGTTTACTTTTCTTCTCAGCCATATATTTACAGTTCTTCCTAGATTCTAGATAGCATTTTTATTTCTAACTTGAGAATCGCTATACTTGAAACACCTATACACAGAGATATGAAAGGCTACAATTTTGACCTCGCCCTGTATATTTCTTGATTGTTATCTACTATGTTCCTTAGAGCAGTGGTTCTGCACTCCGTGTGTAGGTAATTATACAGTAATTTTGACTTGTGCCACATACCACTTACTTACACATGTGATCTTGTAAAACTTAGTTAAATGACTATCCACCTATTCAAAATCCTTAAGTCTTCTTTTGGTGATAGCAGCACACATCATATTTCTCAGTCAGGAATTCCTGCTAAGATTTCAGAAGTGAGAAAGCCTTAAGAAGGTGAGCATCAGCTTTCTGAGCATCCAGACATCTACTGAAGCCCTCTAGCAGTTGCTTTGAATTAGTTTTCTGTTCCTCAGTTAGAAAAGTGATTCACCTGTAAAAAAATTAATATTATGATTGAAAACTCCATGTCATTTCTTCACAAGTGTGCAAATCAATGAATGGATGGCAATTTAACGTTATTTCAATATATTAAACAGATTCTATCATGCAAAGAATAAAGGATGATGGCTTCAAAATAGCAATGCAGAAAGAAATAATCCTAACTGAAGAACAAACACGTGAATTTTACAAAGAGCATGAAAATCAAGACTACTTCCCAGTCCTTCTAGAGCAAATGACCAGGTACATTGAATGAAAAATGGCACTGTGGATCTATAAATAAGGCTGAAATTTTCACAAGATACCCATGTTTCTGAAAGTTTAGTAAAACTCAAAACAGGATCAGAAAACTGCAGATAATGAGATAATTCACAAGTGTAGCAGATAAATAAATTAAAAAAAAAAATTACTAGCTATTCCATACCTCTGTATGCATGATGTCAAAGTCAGAAGCCATTTCTACTGATTTGAGTGAAACGAGCTGAGCTCTGCTCTGGAAAGCTGCATTTAGGTTGTCTGTAGGAGAGCTCTGGAATCTTCATCCAGGATGTGTTCTGGATTCCTTGGGGAGGAAAAGCAAATCCTGTTTGCCTTCATATGAAGTTGGGATATGACTGGGACAAAAACTTAGGAGCTGATCAGCGTTTTTATATCTAATAATGAAGACATAGCCCAATTCTACAACATTCTTGCTGTTGTGTTAACATTCAGTAACTTTGAATTTAACATCATTTTTAAGCCCATAAGGTTTTATCAGACTGTAGCTGTTTAAACAGAGACCACTTTTAAGATCCTCCAGTACCAGGGCTTGTTTTCCTAGCTTGGACTATATATAACTAAATTACTTTTACCAATTACAGAGTTTAGTATCTTCTTTTAATGCCAGATTTCCCATTTTACAGTGGTCCAACTCTTGTACTTGCCTTGACACGAGAAAATGCTGTAGCACACTGGAGAGATTTGTTAGGCCCAAAGGTTGTTGAAGAGGCTAAGAAGGAAAATCCAAACAGGTAATACAGTAATAAACCATCATCTACAGCTTCCAATTTTGCATTCCTCATCTCAATGAATACCTCATTCTAATTGGTGTAACTACAGTGCCATCATCTGGAAACTGATGCATATTTCTGCAGTTTGTTAAGCTTTCCTTGGAAGTGTTGTATTACACATAGAAACCATAGGATTTTTTAAGAAATGATGGCAACTAAACATAATGAAAATCTGAGTTTAAAAAAGGGTATTAGAGGAGATCACTCGAGACAAAGAAAAAATATTGGTAATATCTCATTCTTTTTTTTTTCCCTTGAAATAGCAGCATTATTTTTTAGAATAGGTGTGTATTTTCTAGCTTAATAAAAACTTTGCATCATTAGAATATTTTATTTGTGACTAAGTTTCTCCTACACATTTTATAAATGGACATCTTAGTCTTACCTGCTTATTGTATTGTTCTAAGAAACTGCTGTGGTATCATCTTGTTGTTGACAAAAGTGCATTCCATTAAGAAAGAACTGGTATTATCTTGGAAATATAACAAGAGGAAAGTTGGGAGGGTCCATATTTCGGGTGGTTAATTAAAAAGTTGGTTGTTCCTTTCGTAGACAGTGAAAGGTTTCTACTCCTACAGAGAGATCATCATGCACTTAAGTTACCAGATCAACATTAATTTATATTCACTGGGTTAAGGCTAGTCATCGTTAAATCTCCAAATGGCTATTCCTTTAAGTAACTTCACCCTTTTAATGACTCTTAGTTTACGTGCAAAGTATGCTGTTGACAACATACCTATTGGTCAGCTGCATGGTAGTTCTACACCCAATGATGCTGAGAAGGAATTACAGTTCTTCTTCCCTCGGGAGCACACTTTGGCATTAATCAAACCTGATGCTGCTAAGAAGCATAAAGGTAAGGGATCTAGAAAGTATGGGTGATGTCTAATGATGTAATCTCCACAAAATATTACCAATGTACACTGCAGTAAATAATGTCAGGTGCATTCTTTTTATTCTCTGGAATGTTATTTCCATGCAGAGAAATACTTTCACAGGGCTTGCATAATTCATATTGAGGTCTCAAATGTGACTTCTTCTTTGTTTAAGCTGCCGATAGCTCTTTCTTCACAAGAATGGTGGTGAATTAAAATAAGATAGTTCTTAGCTAAATTAAACTGTTTGAAAGCCAGGTACTTGTGCAAACTAGCTGCCCAGCATCCATCTAAGTCAAAGGAGACTTTCCAAATTCATGTTACTTATTTCAGACAGTTATCTCTACTGACTCACAATGGGGTCATTGCTCATTTAGATTAATTTCTATCCTTGGTTTAACTTGCCATTTAGGCAAAGGGTATGAGGAGGAAAGGTCAAAGTAGAGAGAACACTATGTACAACTTAATATCTTACCTTAAAGATTTTTGCTGCCCCTTTTTTTTTTAAACCCTATATCCAGAGCCTTTTCTTGGCATTCTTCTCTTCTTTCCTAAGAAATTTCAGTATTCTTTCTAAAGCTAATTTATCATTGGCTTTTGTGAGTCTTTCTTCCCCTCTGGTAACAATCCAGACTGATTTTAGCAGGCCAGCTGGTGTGTGATAGAGCATTACAACTACAGTCCACGTTCTGTCCAATGTGAGAAACAACAGTGAATGCTACTGGTATAGTTTACAACAGTCTGGATTTTTCACCTATGTAGAGATGGATTCGTGCAATGACAACGGTTTCTGTATATTTTAGAGGACTGTTAAAGTGTTTGTCATGTTGTCCATGATTGTTTGATATTGTAAATAGAATTTTAATAGGTATTGGTGATTAAAAAAAAAAAATAAAAATCATCCAGTAATTTATGCAACTTTGGGTGGTTTTTTGCATCTAAACTATGTCAATCAAGAATAAGTTTGCTTGCTATTCTCCTAGATGACATTATGCAAAAAGTTAAAGATGCTGGATTTGTCATATCAAAGATTAAGGAAGAAGCTTTAACACGTGAAATGGCTATACAATTTTATAAGGACCATGAAGGAAAACCCTTTTTTAACCAGTTAGTGACTTGCATGACTGAGTAAGTGTCTTTTTATACGATACTGAGGTACATAAATATATATGTCAAATGTTGAATTTACAGTACCAACAAAACATGCTACACCCAAAGTGGGATAAGGATACACTCTGGCACTCTTTCTGGCAAGTTTATTAGCTTCTAGCACTGAGTGTTCTTCCTTTGAAGAAAGATTTAAAATTATTTCTAAACTTATGGACAGTGACTATTATTTTGGATTTTTTTTCTCAAAAAAAAGAAATAATTTCTAATGGAATCCTTGTACTTCTCATGTAGGACAAATATATTCTCATAATATTGCTAGCATATCTGTTGATAAAACAATATGTATTGTCTTGCTTCAGAAATTATTGAGTGAGAATCTTTTTAGGACAAAATGTCCAAATTCAAATACCTGATCATTATAATCTTTTTGGCTTTCAAATACAGGATATTTTCTTAAACAAAACACTCAGAAAACAATTTTAAAATTTAAACAGTTTAACAAAATTCAGATAGTGTAATGCTCATCATAACCCTTCACAGCACCTCTGAAGTCAAAGCTAAGTCTGCATCTCAGAGTAGTGTAAGAGCTTCCTTGTATTATTGATTTTACAGGGGCCCATCGGTGATAATGGTCTTAACAAAGGAAAATGCCGTGGAAGACTGGAGACAACTGATGGGTCCAACTGATCCAGAAGTGGCAAAAGAGACCTCTCCTGAATCGATTCGAGCTCAGTTTGCACAAGATATTTTGTCTAATGCTGTTCATGGATCATCTGATAGAGAACATGCACTGAGCAGCATTGAGTGCATATTTGGTGAGATTGATATAAATTGAACAATTAAGACGCAATCTCTGTAAACTGATATTCGTGTCATTAGATGCATTTGTCTACCCAACCACCTATATTTAAGACTATATGTACACACATATTTTCCTTCATACTTCTTCAATTTTTTTTATCAGACAGTTTTTTTGTTATCAGCTTTCCCATATTGGAAAGCACATCAATGTAACAAGTAATACCTCCTAGAAGTTTGATATTAGTACTGATTTCTTTATGTATGTTTAGTAGATGGTTTTTCTTTTATCACTTATAAAAATTCATACCTTTCCAATAGTTCCAGGAGTCTAAGGTGTTTTGTATATAACTACCTTAAAAGAACAGGGTCAGGGAAGGTCATTAAAACACTATTGATGACACATTCACTGTGATGTGAATCTAGTCCTCCAGTTCAGGCAGCCTACAAAGGAGAAATGCTGAAAGGTAGTGGAGGCACTGCTACAACAATGGCAGGGAGCAGCAGGAACTGTGGGAATGCTCCACAAGGGACAAGGAGCCAAGAGCCAAGCATGACCACAGCACAGGCTGTGCCCTCACCAGCAGAGTCCAGCCCCACAGCACCCAAGCAGAACTGGGTAGCCACATCCATCAACAGACCCAGACAAAACAGGCAATGAATTAGGTCCAGGACCCATTCAAGGGTTCAGTCTGGAACAACAGGCAAAAGGGCCAGAGACCAGTATTCCTGCAACACAGCTCAGGCAAGATTAAGCCCAAGTGTGAGCTTAAACAGGGCTCCTGGGTGTGCATCCCCAGTGAGAGTGCTCAGGGCTATTAAGGCCTATTGGTTCCCTCAGAGCTCTGAAAAACATTTGCATTCTTTATTTATCCTGTCTCTAAACATTTTCTAATGATTGCTGTCACAGATAACAAACCAGAAAGTCCTTTCCAGTCCATTTACTCAATTCAAATGTATCAGATGCAGTAAATGATAAAGTCAGCTCTTACATAACAGCTATTCTTGATGTACACCTCCTTGCCAGACTAGTAAATTCCTATCTTGTCTCAGTCTAACTTGGCTGGCTTTCATGAAGAACACAATTATTCTTCTGTAGCTGCTATATTCTCACTTTTGTCATTCGAGTCTGTTGAAGGTTGAGATACTAAAGAATGTCATTCAATTAAAGCAATTTACTTACAGCATTGATAATAAGTGCAAAGTCCAGAAAGAATGAAGTCTTTCTCACACTTCCTCTGTTGTTTCTATTGTATTTAATACACCTAGCTGTTTTAAAGATCTTCCTGACAAATATTTCTGTTGTGATGGGGCGTTTGTTATTATAGAAATCCCTCCAGCAGAAGTTGGGACCCATTTTCACCTACAGCTGCTTTACTGCCATAAACCCGATTTGGGGCTAGCTAGCCTGTAGGAAGTTGTGATTAGTGAGGAATTTATATGTTGCCTCAGTGAGGTGAGTTCTGAGAAGCATATTTTAGAATTGCTGTATGTTCTTTGGCTTGTTTTTTACTTCAAAAACCTATTAAAACCGTTCCTTCTGGCATTTTTTCAGCACTCTGAGTCTTTTGGGTGCTGGCATGTTGTACTTGAAAAAGGAAGCAGTCTCAGAAAAGGCCCCAATACAGTGATTTCAGATACATCAGTTCAGTTCATTTCCCAAGATCTTTGTTAGAGTTAACGGCTTCTCTAACAGTGGGACAGATACAATGTTGAAAGTTTAGATGGGAATATTTTTTCACAGGAGCAGAAATGCTGAAAAGAGCAAAATGTGTTTATGTCTTAATAAGAGTTCATGAAACTTCTGATGGAGGTTCACAATCAAACAGCTTGATAGGTATCAGGTTTTGAATACTTTGGATCATTTATTGCACTGGTCTTAGAAATTTCAGGTAGCTGTAAGTGTACAGTAGCTCTGCCTGTTTAAATATAATTTTACATACTGAGTTATTGCTTGTTTCACCATCATTCTTCAGCCTCCATTACATCACTCTTAATCAAGATAACATTTTTTCAGTTTGGTTTAGCTATTCGATGTTGAAGGATTCTATTTTTTTTAGTTCATATATCCATGTTTGTCAGTTATGATCCCTGTTTTGTTCTTGGTTAAAATGACCTAGTAGATTACATTGAAATACTATGCATACATCTATGATATATTTTCTTCACTTTTTATAAGTATCCAAACACAAACTGAAATCTGTGAACATTTAATTTATTACTGCTTATTTTCTTCTCCTAAATATGTTTTTGATCTTAATGTCTTTCAGCAGCTTTGGAAAGGAGAAATTTAAGAGATACATTTCAAAACAATAAAAATAACTGTTTCAGCTAATGAAGAAATACAGGTTTTGTGTCTTTGATTTGTATCTTTGAAGTACAGATTTTAGTAGAATTATCAAAATACCATGCATTCAGAAGCACTGGTATTTTAAATACTGTCAATACTTTAAGATATTACTTTGTCTTTTTAAAAGTTTAACTCAACATTTAGGTATTGTATACATAATTTAGACTGCCATCTACTCTTCTTCGAATTTTATATTACTGTGACAGACATAGATGTAATTTTAAAGATCTTGAGCACTTGTGATAGGATCGGCAAGCATTTGAATTTATAGAGTCAGGAGGAATGTGTTCCAACATAAACTTCTTAGAGTCTCACATATGAAAATCTTGCAATTAAATTTACACCACTCTTCTGCCTACAAATCTTACAGAAAGTCTGGTTCTGTCCTTTTATCCTATATCTAAATGCCAGATCAAAAGAGAATGTGATCTTCATGGCCATTTATTTAGAAAATATCTCATGGTTCTGCATAGAATTAGGTGGTGCAGAGATGTGATGGAAATTCTTCCAACACTAACAAAAGATAACATAATTATTCTTCTGATTTTTGTCCCAGCAGGAGAGAAATGAAACCACAGACATGTTTATTTGTACAACAGACCACATATTTCCTTGTTTAGGAACTTTAATGAAATAATAATCTGACACTAAGACTATACTAAAGATCTGTTTCAGTTTAGAATGATAAACAAGACAGTTCTACACTTCACAATACTGTTTAAGAAGAATTAGTAAGAAGAATTAGTATGTCTGATTGTAGTGAGTATTTGTACTGAGTTACTGCAGGATAAAAATAAGAGAAGTGAGGAAAAAGCTTTTTTCCCCGCCAAGAAGATGGAGTCAATCAGCTTGTGGTTGTGTATCACTGCTCTGTTTTTCCTTTGCTCTGATTGCTGCATGAGCTACACTGACAAGTCAGGCCTTGCAAGTATCCTTTACCCACAGTTCTTTGTGAGCAAATGATTAGCTTTCTGATTACCTTGCTCAGAGGGTAAGTACTGATGAGCTCTGAGTATCTCAGAGCTAAAGTTTTCATCGTATTGTAGCCAGGAGGCATCAAAATACTTAGGGTGTTGGCTTGTTTGGGACACCTCTTGATCGCTCTGACACATGCATTAACCTTCTATGTGTAACACAGACCATCTGACATATTGAAGCTACTTTGGGGTTTTGATCTTAGTACTCTTATCTAGAGAAAAGGAGTGTGCCCTCCCTTCCAGAGGTTTTCCTTTATGCTTATTGCCAAACTGGTTTATCCACAAGCCTTTTGGCAGCAACAACAGGAGCCAGTCTGATGTTAATAAATTACCTGGAAGCCCCTGAATTTAGTGCGTATCTAGCAAGAAAATTCAAAATCCTATTACACGTTCCAATGAAACTGGTATTAAATATCAGGGATGTTACAGGAAATACAGTGTCAGCAGTTGAAATTGAATGTGGTTTTTCCACAGAGCCTTGACCAGGTCTAATTAGAAGTAATGTACCTCTACAGAAATTAATAACTTGAAAGTTATTGGTTTTTACTATAAATGGAAACACAATTTTGAATGTTTGTTGACCCACATTGATGGATTTATATTTATTTACAAAATTACTTGGAGCTGATGTGGTTTACCAGAAAAATCTGGTTGAGGAAACGTTTTCAGATGTGCATTTACATTCAACTATTTAGCGCAACCAAAAAGTGTGTGTCGGTTGTGCATAATTGGAATAAATATTTTTTCAGGTTTCATTCATTTGGAATCTAGGTTACAATGCTGGATAAAATAATTTAAGAGCTGTTTGAGTATTTTGGACTGGAAAATCTTCTTTTTATTTGTTCAGGAAGTATTTCTCAGTTATATGCAATGACTGGACAAAAGTAACAAAGTTGCAACACTGAATTGAATTAAAGTGACCGGGTCATTCAGGTCTTGTTGGAGTGGGATTTATGGTTTTTTTTATAAATGTGGTTCATAAAAGGGTTCCGATTTGCACTTACAGTGAGCTTCTAAAACTGTGCCAATTATTCACAATTAGAGTAAATATTTTTTCAGGTTTCATTCTTTTGGAACTGAGGTTAGAACATTCAGTGAAAATATTCAATGGCACTTCTTACTAAACCGGGCACATGTGTGTGGGAGGTAGTAAGAAACACACTAGAAGCATATGTTCAGTGTTCTAGGCAATTTTTATTTTATATGAAAAAAAAAAAAAAAAAAAAACCAAACTGAGAAAAAACATTTGACGCTTAAAGTTTTGGCCTGTTAATTTTTTTCAGCTGTAAATAGGTATAGTAATTACTTTCATCCATCAGCAGACTATTTGCCCACTCTGCTAAATCAAGGTTTCATGACTCCGGTGCTGGGTTGCACAGCAATGGCTATACCTGGCCGTGGATGCACAGGAGGAGAGATCAGTCCAACTTTTTGCCACATGCCAGGGAGCAGAAGTGGTGAGTGGGCCATGTGGGGATGTGGGAGGATGCATTTGCCTGCTCAAACAGCCCTCGCTGCTCCGACATCTGTTTCACGCCTTTGCAAGGGAAGGGCAGCAGGCTGAAAGGCAGGGGCGTTCTGGGTCTGGATTCAGCCAGCATCTGATGTGGCAGTGAATTAAGTAAGTGAATTAAGTAAGGGATTTTCAAAGTGGAGTCACTTATATTAGTGTTGAATTGGGTTGACCCATGGCTTCTTAAAAAGTAGAAAAAAGTGGACTTGGAAAAACACTGCCTTACCAATTCATCCGCACTGTCTGCACATCTGTTCTTTGTATTATGATATCCTCTGCTTTTTGTCTATTTCCTTTCCTTCTTCCATATTTTTTACCATATCAGAATGAAAGTGAGTCAACAAAAAGCATACATTAAAATGTCAAGGAGTTTGGAAAAACACTGGGCTCGGTTCATCAAAGTTTATTCCAATGTACTGGAATGGTCAATCTAATGACAGTAACTTACAGGAGGAATGGTGACAATTCTCCGGAGAAAATAACATTTACATCTTTTTCTTTAATATCAAAAAATGAAAAAGCTTTTATTTTAACAGTTCTAAAATAAGATGTAATGTTGCGATGAAGTCTAGCTAGCTAGACAGTCAACAAACACCACACTTGACTATGTTCACAATAAAACTTCTTAAAGTGAAATACCACAACTTTGGTATTTGTTATTCCAACATCACGTTGATACGACTGTCGTTCATTTTTAATGTCTAACCGTACACACTGGGGTACTTCAAATTGGATCAATAGGTAAACAAAGCTTAAAAACTCATGCTACATAGTAAACAAAATTATTTTAGAAGCTTTCCAATCATACTGATCTTTTAGATCATGTTTACTTAAGTCAGCATTTTCAAACTCATCTAATTTAGTCATCTGCAGGGAAATTCTGTCTCCTATGATTTCTATTTCAGTTTTTCCATTTTATTGCACAGGATTAAGATTTCACCTGTGGTATTTAGGCACCTAAGTTTGTGGTCTGTTTTAGACATGACAAACACACATAATTCCCGCTCAGGTTAATAGATGCAATATATATGCTCAGCATTCCTGGCACCTGGATTGAATTTTGGATCTAATTCTGCAGATGTTCCATGAAGATAAAGTTCTGCATCTGTCCAGTATTAGTGGGAATGCTGATCTTTGCACGTTTTAATGAACTGCTTGAAGCTCAACCAATGATCATATAGAGTTGGCTTTTCCCCCCTGAACTACCCTATACACTATTATTCCATTTTTCTGTAACACCTCTGTCCCTTTATTCTAAGCATTCTAACTTGGCATCTATGTCTTCCGCTCATGTTACCATATTACCAAGTATATTACTGCTGCTACCCAAATCACTCCAGCACATTCTCCCTTGAATTTCATGCAGGCAAATTTCATTGGAATTCTTGTAATGAGAAAGATCAATATACTGACATGACCAATCATAACTCCTTATGTTACCCTCCCCACAACTTTTTTTTCTTTTTCTGATATAGACACTCTCTATTTCAGAAATGCTAATTTGTTTTCTAGATACCAGAACTGTCAAGTCTAGTCCTTGCTTTCATTGCAGGAATTCTTGAAGGTTTTTCAGCTGTCTATCATGAGCTCTTATGATGTTAATTTAGGTGATCTTCTTACACAGAAATCAGACTGTGCTATCCATGCTGCCTCATCCAAGTACATCTTGGGAGGAATAGAATGAATACCATCTTGGAAGGATGTTGATTAGATTTGAATCACCTTTGCTATTTTAATACCTCACATGGCAAATGTTAAGTGAGTAAAACTTACTATATAAATAAAAGCATCTGCTTTGTCTGTGACCCTTTGCAGGGTAAATGTTAATTTCTGATCGTGAAAACTGAGAACAGCCAGTTGTTTTGAGAAGTTCATGAATAGAGACAAGCCTTATTTATTTATTTATTTATTTATTTATTTGGTATCAGAGAGATTTATAAACATGGTGCCAAATGATAAAAAATTATCTAAACGAACACTGAGCCACATGAAGACCTATCTTCTCCTTAATACTGTACAGTAGCTGTCAGTTATGTTTAGAATAATGCTTCTATTCCAGTTTTCATAACAAAGCTATATTACAGCAAACGTGTTACTTTTAAGAATTCTACAGATCTGCTTCACTTTAATCTGTCCTTTTAAAAAATACTGATTCTTTCAATTAGATGCTTAAATATGTTTGAAATTATAACAACAGAAGCCAGCCTGAAGTACAATTAAAAAATTAAATGTCTGCTTTCAATGCATTTTTGCTATACAAACCCACAAGATCAAATACTAACACTGTAAGCATATTTTTGGCACACACATAAAAATAATCACATAATGCATACCCAGATGCTTATCAGTAAACTACACTTTGGAACTCTCTGAACAAGGGCTGTGATTCCAAATAGCAGATAGATTCAGCTCCAGCAGCTGCAGTAGCTGCTGCCCGAGATGTCTGCCAGAGGTTACCATCCCTCTGCTGCTCCTCAGCTGCCCCGGCTCTCAGCTCACCAGACTAATTCACCAACTACTGCACCAGTGCGGTTTCTGAGGAGATAAGAGATGCCCCATGCAGCTGTCCAACCTCTGGCATGGAAGCAGAGCAGGCAGCTGGCACAAGGAGTGCAAACCTCTGGCAGCCAAGGCTAGACCTACCTCCAGCAGTAAACCAGAGCCCTAGGATAAAGCTCAGTCAGCTCGAATATGCCTACCACATATTGCTGCAAACCTATGCTCTATGGCTTGCAGTGGCTTAAAAGGAAAAGCAAACCTTTTAAAAGTAAAGTGCAGCAAGAACATCTATGTAGAAACTGCCATGAGTTTTTAAGTTGATGAGTTCTGGATTACTAAAACATGCCGATCAAGCCAGATCGTGACCCTCATCGTGCAGGGAAAGTCTTTCCTTTTGGAAATTTCACACTCATACTTTTTTAGGGTTGATTTCTTTCTGGCCATTTCTTATTTTAATGGCCTTTTTGGGGCCACTGGCCAGCGGGTTGGTGTTCTTGGTTGATGGCTTTGGGGCTCCACTCCGACCACTGCGTCCTGCATTCTGGTTCTTACTGCGGGCTGTTCGCAGCTTTTGTTCTTGCAGTCTCTGTTCCCACCTCTGTGGAAATACAAAAGACAAAGAGGCTGAGTTAGGGAAGGACATATTCATAAATAATTATGTTTTAATCAAAGCTATCCTGAACCACTAATACTAGTGCTGCTCTTATCAGCTCTGTGATCTGTTCTGCAGGCCCACTGATGTCAGTATGTTATGGCTGTCTGCGGGGAGAACCTGCTGCATGTTTTGGGGTGTGGGAATTTCCATGACACCAGTCGATGAAAACGACACTGCACATCTCATGTGCAGGCTGCATGTGAGTGTACATCTCATGCCTTTTCAGAAATCCAGGGGAGCTGGCACCTTGCCATCAAAAAGACAAGATTTGCACACTGGAACTCCTTTGTAAACCCCTTCTTTGAAGTCTTACTGAACATGATAGTTGATTTTTTCCTTCGAAAAGTCTGCAGAAAGCACACTATCCTTTCACAATATATATTTAAACACACAGCTACAAGGGAAAGTAGTATTTACTTTCTGGTTTTCCCCGGGGTGGAGAGGACTGGGCAAGAAAGAGCTTATGCTATGGACAGACAACAGAGTTGACCGGTGAAATCGCAGTGCTCAGACTTGCAATGGGATGGTTATGAATAATGCACCTTCAGCTCTATTCAGCAGCATCCCTGAGCAATTCTGAAAAGCAATCAGATCAGCGAGCCCACCAATGGGACTGTTAGATTTCCAAGCCAAAAAGTGCAATGGTTAGAAAACAGGTTTTTACAGTGAGGTTAAGTAGTTAGGTGGTCCAAAATATGGAGAGATCCACAACACTGCAGTAGAGACTGCAGTCTTCCATCTCTAGGAAGATAAATACTTAAAGAAAAGGAAGGTACATAGTAGAACCTGGAAAGGGTCTCACCTCTCGCTTCTATTAATGAACTTTCCCTTCTGAAACTCCCAAAGACAGGGGCTTTGCCTAGTGACCAGAGCAAGAGAATCACTGTCCAGTTTTCCTATTTAGTATGTCTGCACTGACCCTGTTGCAGCTCAGACTCTTGTCAGGGCTAAAGAAGAGACCAGCCATGTTGTGGTTATGTTAACAGCTGTCTTCTGTGGTCCACAGACAGCTCAAAACATACATTTTAAGTGGTAACTCAAGACAGAAGTTGGATGCAAATCTTCAGAGATGAATGATGGGCATTAAAATGAAGCCACGGTGATACCTAGTTCCATACTGGCTATCTTTGTGCAGTCAGGGTCATTAAATGCATCTTTATGAAACAAAATCTATCAGCAGGCATTGAGGTGTGTCCCACTCAAAAATGTTTAAATGAGAATTTAATTTATGAAACTATTAATATCAGAGGGAATGACACATGCTTTGAGAATTATTTTGCTTGGCAGTCATGAGTCTATTTGACAGTCTAGAAATTAATGTTCAAACAGGTTTCAAGACACAATTAGAAATGACAAAACAGAGTGAGGAGGCCACTAAAACACACTGTGTGAGAGTAACAGGCCATTAAGTTGACAGCTAAGGGATTTCAAGAGTCCGAGTTATACGTCAGTATTCTCCTAAATCCCACATGGTATCATATGCAATTGCAATGTGATTATTTTATAAAGAATTAAAGCATGTTTTCTTTTTCACACATAGAGGAGTAAGTGAGGAGAAAAGGGAATGATAAAAGCATCAAATACAATTTCCTGCAAGAAGTTGGCCTGTAATCTAAAAGATTCTACTGATGGATACATGCATCTTTTTTCCTCCTCTCTATCAATTGCCAACCAGCTCATAATTAAAATAAACATACATGTATGTCCCTAATGCTCTGAAACCTTTTCTGAATTCCAGAAATAACTTTCTTCCATCTCTAAAAGTATGAGGAAGAGTCAGACATTGTCTTGATCCACCCTTTCTTTCCATTATAAGGATAATTATAAGCAGGGAATGATAACAAGTGCCATCGTGAAGCTCCCAAAGCAGGGGCACCTGCTGCTCCTGCCTCCCAGGTCTCTCTACTATAGACTTTGCCTTCCAGTGTTCCCTGAAGCCAGTGAGGGGATGTCCAATACTTTCAGTGGATCTTTAGTGGGAATAAACTGGTGAGAAGTCTGTGTCTCCAGACTGCAATTTTTAATGCAGCAAAGTCTGTTTATCCAGTGCAGTGGATTTTTAACTTCCTTTCTTGCCTAATGTGGACTATGCGTTCATCTGCCTATCACCTGTCTGACAGTTACTCGCCTTAGCATTGATATGGAAGAAATACCTAGAGTCATTATTGTAATAAACCAGAGTCCACACAAAGATCATCCAACCATCCTATTTAGGCACAATTTGCAGAAAAAATAAAAATAAATTAGAAATAAAATTTTAGAGACCCTAAAATAGAAGACAAATTTTCAAATTTTCACTTGCACTTATATGTAATTATGAGGTAAGAAAATGTTGACATGAAAATAATAACACCCAGAGGTGTTACAGATATCTGAAAGTCAAGCAAGTTATTCAATGGTGAAGTAGAACCAAGATGTTTAACTTTTTATCAAGATTATCAGCATTCTTTTCTTCAGTTGTATTTACCTTAAATCTTTTGTTTAGCTGATCCTTCCATTTTTCAACTAGACATCCATCAAGAAGCATCAGCCTGAAAATGAAGAAATAAATACAAGTTATACATATCTCTGATTTTGATTCCTGACATTTCATTCCATATGATTTAACACAGACTGAGGTTGAAATGCACCAGCAGGTACTGGTACTGACAGTGTACAGGATGACAGGCAGAAAAATACTTTTCTCCATCCCTAAATGTTTTCTAATGGATTTCTACATGTTTACACTGATACTTCTGAAATTCTAGTCTAAACTCTGTAAAAACAGAAAATAGTTTTCAAAAGAAATCAGATTTTACATCCAGAACTGCAGCGCATGGCCAGTATTGAGAAAACATTTAGAGCCCTCTGTCTTCACCTCTAGCTATTCTGCAGGGGAAAATTGTCCTGACGATCACTGTTAACAAAAAGTTATGTTGGGTAATATCCCATGAAACTGTTTAAATGTATATGTACATACATTTTTACTTATGCCCACTATGTATTTGTGTGTGTCTGTTTGTGTGAAGAAGAGTTTAAACTAATGTATTTCACTTCTGAATCATAAAAAAAAAAAAAAAAAAAAGTTAATACAGCTCAGCTGACGAATGGTAACACATTATCTGATCAGTTACAATTGTCCCCATTTCTACCTATAAATACCTGAGGATGGTATTATGTATTTCCTACATGTAACTACTTAATGAATGATTTAAAGTGAATTTGGAAGATGCTTGGGCAGTGATACTTGCCTATGACTGAAATCTGGCTAGCTCCTCTATGAAAATACTGAGTGTAGGTGTTGTGAAAAGAACAAAACAAAAATGTAACTATTAAATGTATAAGCCTTAAACAGCTTCTAAAATAGTTTATTCTAAAGCAGTCTGATGTCACACCTTCTAAGACCCAACCCAGAAACAACTATTTTATAGCACATGACTGCTGGAATTTCTTTATCTCCTCTACAGCTAACTATTTAACTATTTTAACTTTCTTCTTCTTCTCTCTCTTTTTTTTTTTTTTTTTTTTTTTTTTCCCTAATTCTGGAAGGCTTTACTTAGACATCAGTGGTGGCTGGAAACATCAAAATATCTTTACAAACTCACATTATTTCATACAGTGCTTTGCTGGTGGGTGAGGTTTACACAGCGTAGCAGGGCCTGACCTCCAGTTTCCATGAACAGCATCGCTGCTCATATCAGTTCAAAAAGAGTACAAAATGCTGCCACTCGCAGCCATTAGCCACTGTGCATACACTCTGCTCAAATATAAAAGGACTACAGTGAGTGCAAGCCCTGGAGAATCAAGACCAACACGATACACATCGCCTTTTCTTTCTGAAGAGAGATTAGAGAACTAACATATAGGATTGAAGCTAAGGCTACATCGTGATGTGTGAAATCACAGCACGGTGTACATCTGATGCAGCTTCTGTTCAGGTCAAACAACTGAGTGAGACCCTAACCCTACTGACAGGCAATGGGTGTTTTGCCACTGAATTCAGTGGAGATAGAGTCTCACCAATTTTCCTTATGGCATTTTAAAAAGCGGCTGTAACTCAAAACCTTCTGTTTGTGTGCCACTGAGTTCAACAGGAAACACACATAATAGTTTATGTTTCTTTTTCAAATCCATTTTAATACACTATATGAAATTAAAAACCTCAGTGACCTTTAAAAACCAAAATATTCACAAAATATTTAGTGAACGGTGTGTTTTTCCATAGTAATGGAGAAGCAGACTGAGATCTTTCACTTTTGAAATCTCCCCTCCCTGACAGCTCCCTATGGGTCCTCTCCAAGAAAGCCCTGCAGCTCAGAGCTCCTCGATCACAATCTTGGTTGTGGTCCTCCCGTGTGACTCAGGGCATGTATCCATAAAATGGCTAACACAACTGAAGGGCTCTAAATTAATCTTTGTGAAACACTTCCAGACCTGAAGGAGCAAGGTGCCATGTAATAGTAAAATACTGTGCCTTTTAGCTTACACCAAAAAAAAGCTAAATTAATAAGGTATCGGATAGCAACTTTTAGAAACATCTATAAAATGCTTTTAAAATATCAACAGAAAGCTCACTGAAGATATGGATATGGCCCATCAAGTTCTGCACATAGACGTTCTATGGTCCCTAAAAGTGCACGTGATCAATTAACAGTCACATCACTGTATGCAAAACCAGCCCGCACATTTGACAAACAGCCTTACCCCTGACCCACAGCACACAGGCACACATACCTACCACGCCACAACCTGTCCCTCTGGTGTCTGTTGCTACTGGTACACTTGGGGTGCTAAACAGGGATGGGATGTCCCCTTCTGCTTCAAGGACCCAGAGAGAAAAGGGAGCTGTGGTTCATCACTCCCTCCCCTCCAGACCAGCATGCTGGATTTTCTTCCATGCCTGGGGCTAGGCAGACTGCCAGATGAAGTCTGGTAAAGTTAGTTTTGTTTTGTCTTTTAATCATAGAGCAGGACTGGCAGGCTGCTCTCAGAGTATTTACTTTTCATCTGCCATCCGGAGCCAGAGCTCCAATGGCTGCAGCTTTGGCTGGTCCCGGCACAGCTGTGGGATCACAAACATCTCGCTGATGGCACCAGTCCGAAGTATGGATATGCTGGCAGAGAAGGCCTGGCTCTGTTTGCAGCAGCTCTGCAGACTGGAGATGTGTATCATCTCCTGTACCCTCCCCTGGGGTCGGTGAGGCAGAACTATGCCTTCCACGTGCTCCTGCCAACATGGACCACCATCTACAGCCACCATCAGGCTTGTAGCACACAAAGCAGCTCATACCTATGGAAACCGGTCCTAGAAAAACACTCCTGAACAGCTGGAGATGCCTGAACTGCTGCATGATGCATTCAACAATACGCTGTCAGCACCTAATGCCGCCAGTGTTTATGCCCCATGTGTAAGCCAGGTTTTGTAAACACCCCATTGTGGCACAGAGCTGAGGCTGATTAAGTGGAAAAAGTTAATTGCGAAGGTAATTGAAACATGTGGGTGTATGTGTGAGTTACCCTAAGAAAAACTATCAGCAAAACATGCTCATGATGAGGAAGGGAGCTTTGCTGGTCCTCCTTCCCGCCTATAATATTTTTCTGCACCCCGTGGCCAAGGCTCACCTCGAGCGCCATTCATAGCACATGATGAGAACATCCTGCTTCGGCTGAAGAGGTGGACACTGGCAGGAGGAATTTGTAAGAAGAGGCACTTGAGACAGAGGAATTGGCGTCGAAGACTTAAGTATGTCTTTGACTTCAACTACAGTCGTTACTTCATTGCAGCTCCCTCTTTCTACGCTTTTTACTTTAGCGTGAATGACTGCAATTAGAAAAACAGAGACGTGAGAACAACAAACGATCTCAGAAATTTAAACACATCTCAAAATTAAAGAAAACGTATTAAATTTAAAGCTGTTGTTTCACTGTGAAACTAGAACTACTTCTTCATGTGTGGGCACATACAGTGGCTTAGAACAACAGAGGCCTGATCCCCATTTGTTTTTCAGTGGGACTGTTGACAACTGTGAAATTAAACATGTGCTTAAATCTTTGCCAGATCAGGCCAAGCAATCTCGCCTGGAATCACACACACAAACAGCTCCTTTGACTCAGACTTGAACAACCCCTCGCATAAATCGGACCCGTTCTATAGCCACATCTGGCTATTTCCAATTAAGTAATGAATAATATACCTCACAGACAGACTGAATTCAGTCTTTTCAATAATAAAATCATTTCCCTGTAGGCTGCATCCAGGAACTAAAGTATTTTCTTAAATATAAGAAGGAAAAGAAGGTTTGAAACACGTAGTCAAAAACTAAGAGACTCAGGATTGTCATGATTTACTCAGTCTATATGTTTTTCATCTTCTGCCTTTGGATTGTCCATCAATAATAAGATCCTCATATAAAATAGACTCTGAAACAGGTTCTTCTCACTCTGAATACACAATAATTCATATTTTTACCTCTTTTTTTTTTGAGGAAAACTGCATGTCTGCATGGACACAAGAAGGTGGAACTCTGTAGATTGCTCTGAGGATGATCCCTGGCTAACTTTGTACCTGCGAACCCTGGCAGCATTTCACCCCTTCTCTCTTGTGAGAAGTACCAAGTCAGAGAAATGAAGCATGATTATTACACTGAGGACTTTCTCTGTAGAAAATGTCAAAATATAAGGGGTCCTGTTATCACAAAATTCTTCAGTGAAAGAAGCATGAGAAGTGTATGTACCACAGGGTGATCAGCCTGCATCGACGCCACCCCTGGCAGCCACCAGGTCAAAAGCCTTCAAATGGACCTATAAAAGGCTGGAATAAACTTCACATGTAGAAAACAAGAGACCAGCAATTTTAATGAAATCTGGTGCTAACTTTTTCAGGACATGTGCAACGACCACAAAACACATGAAGGATTTCAGTTTCAGTGACTGAATAAAAATCTACAGATTAAATAAAAATCTACCTCTCAAAAGTAAAATCTTAGTTTCACAAATTCAATGGAATTGTCCTGAAGCCACTGGAATCAGAATTTGTATAGCTAACACCTGCCTTTCATTTTGGAGTAGTCATTTTACACCACTGCTTTTTCATATATTTCAGACAACTGTGGAAATTTACTGTCCCACCTGAATATATCACTATGTTGTATTGAGATGGATTAAGGAACTATATAGAAAGAATATATGACATAAATGCACCAAAATTCCAAGACAAAAAATGTATATTACCCAAGTCAGATGTGCAGCTTGATTATTCCCACCAAACTGGAGTTTAGATATTTTTCCCCTATACTAACAAAGAAGCAAATAACTACAGACTTTCATTTGATATCAGGTAAATAGGAATTGACTGGATATAATTACCCTATTGCATAAAAACTGAATACATCCCTTGAAGAAACAACTTTTATCTGAGGAAAAAAAACATAAAGTACAACAGACCATGATACTGCATGGTAAATTCATAGTTAACAGGGGTTTTCTGTTGATGTTACAGATATTCATTCTGGTATTTACCTAATCTTCATCAGACTTCTTCCTGACTCCCAGCATCAGAAAACCAGAGGCTGGGGAGCCAGGAGGGAGGAGAGGTGAAAACTTACTTATATTGCCAATATGTCATGCAACGTATCATAAAACTATCGGCCAATTCCTTGGCTGGCTGGTGCAAATTGTCACTGGATTCAGTTAATCTCTGACAATTCTGCCCCAGCTGAAACTCTGGCTAAGAGAATATAAGGATTCCTAAGTAATAACTTTTTACCTTGCTTCAGCTTCCTTCACGTTTACAAGTTTTATTTAGGTGATAAACCCCTGTTTATTCCACCTGCTGGATGAAAACAGGAGCTGCCCGAGCACCACAGGGTCATGCTCACATGAGATGTAACTGTTGCACGTGCTGGGGTGACCTTTACAGCAGCAAGCACCCTTCCTGCAAGCACCCTGTTGATGCCGGAGCACACTTCTGACATGTCCCTGCTTTTATCAGAAATACAGCCCCATTTGCGCAATGCCCGCACGAGGTGTGCCCGAGTGGTGGGTTTTGGAAGAGGACAGTGAGGTGTCCTCGAGCCAAGACCCACTCAGGAGGGCTGTGGTGGAGAGGTGTCCTCACACTGCACTTGCTGGCTGGGGCCTGGTGTGGGTGCAGCACCCAGAGGGAGCTGCCCAATTCGCGGGGGGTGCCGAGAGGTGTGGGATGGGCAAAGTGAAGCCTTTTTACCCCTGCACTTACTGTAGCTGTAGTTCTTGGCCAGGTAGGTCGACAGCGTAGGCTTTGTCTTTTTGCACCTGCATCGCTCTTCAGAGGAAGAGAAGGGGAAACAGTTGAGGGGTGTCAGAGGGAACCTGGCTCCGGGAAAGGGGAGGTGGGGGGGTGCCCGAGGCTCACCCTGGCCGCGGCTCCGGCAGTCGGGCTCCAGGGGTCTCTCCGGCACCAGCACGCCCTGCGTGAAGTCCGTCCACTTCACATCTGCAAACAGAGGCGCGGCGGGGAAGGGAAAGCCGTCGGAGCGAGGCTCCCGGGGCAGGGGTCCCGCAGTCCCCCGCCCGGGGCGCTCCGCGGGGGTACAGGGGATCCTCCCTCCCCCGGCCACCCCCGGGGCGCTCACCCTCCGGCAGGTCGGTGACGATGGCCTCGGGGGAGATGCAGACGCCGCGGTCGTAGACGGGGAGGTCGTCGCAGGCCAAGCTCTCGGGC